TGGCTCCTCAAAGCGCTTTACAGGTTAAAAACAATAACAACAATACCGTTAGGCTGGGCAAACAAATTTTTTTTTAAGAAATACAAAATGAGATATAATTATGTGTTCCGGCTTGGACATTTACGAAGAACATAACAAAGGTCATAAAGGTCATAAACGATATTAATTTGGGAACATCAACATATTATGCAAACTGTATGTTGCTGTTGTTGGTATTTAAAAGAAAAAAGAAAAAAATCTGTAAAATCCCGGGTTCAGTACAATGATTCAGGCATTCATGTGAAGGAGAACAGAGCTTTCACTGGCCGATTATCAAACTTTATTGATAAAACAAAAACAAAAACTATCTGACCAAGCCAGAAGAAGACAAAAAGAATAACGGACACAGCGGGAGCCTGCATTCTCTCCTCAGCCGTCCACACCAGACTTTTCCCTGGGTCAGAGATTAAATAAAACTTCACTCGCATCAAATAAATTTCCACACACTGACCACTGAACATGTTAACCCAAATATGTCTCACAATACTTTTATGGTACATTACTTTGGTAAAATGTATTTAAAAATAAAAACGATTACAAACGCCAGCAGAGAGAGAGATACAAACACAGTTCTTCATTGTAAAAAAGTTTATTGTTTTTTACTTTGTCAGCACCCAGACAAACGCAAACGCGTTATTAATGAAAAGCTTTTATTCATTCTTAATCGAACTCACAAGTTGTCATCTGCTGTTGAAGCTCTGTGAGACTAGACTCACACATGGCTAGACTTGACTCGGCTTTGGTTTTCCCATCTATACCAATGCACTGCAAGTACAACCCCCCTGTCTGCGGGAGTGCTGGCTGTGATAAATTAAAACGGTTTCACAGGTGTTTTCAAAGTAGAAGGGGGCGAGATTTCCAGGGAAAGGCACCTCCCCCCCTCCAAAACCTAGTAAGTACAGTACTTACTAGTTAAGAAAGCTAGGCTCCCCAATGAAATCGCTTTAACATGCTAATGCATTGGTGTAACAGTCCGGGCGTGGCAAGCTTCTAATGTCTCCCGACTAAGGCAAAAGGAACCCTTCTTTCATTGGAAGACAATGAACATATTCTACCCGTACATGAGAATATAATGCTGGTGCGTGGGCACGGTGGGGTGCTGTACCAGCTGTAAAAAAAAAGTGTTTTTTTTTAAGTCAATTGAGTGTCCATACTATTGCAGTAAGTGAAAAGACCACGGGCATTCTTCCTCCCCCTACATTCTCAGAGTAGAATAGAATTTATTATAAGCACAATTTATTACAGTGCTAAATGTAATATTATTGATTACTAATAATTTATGCTAACACCTAGCTTTCTTAACAAGTAAATACTGTACTTACTGGGTTTTGGAGGGGGGGGGGTGTCTTTCGCTGGAAATCTTGCCACCTTTTACTTTGAAAATACCTGTGAAACCGGTTTAATTCCATATTAAATTCCTTATTAATTCCATATTTAATCCCTTCACTTCTGCATAAGCTTTCTGGAGGAACAGTGGATGGGATGCGGCTCTTTCTGGGAATACTGCAAATTCACAGGTGCCTGACTTGATGGAATTCACATTATCATATTCACATATCACCCTCCCCCTCCCCCCCTGTGTATTGTCCGTTTAGAGCAAGCGAGAGAGTGTGCTGTCCTTTGACAAAACAAGGCTCGCCAGATAATGTGAATCGAAACGTTTTTCTAGCTTTTAAAGTCATGCGATGTGTAAGCAGGAACACATCATTACATCTTACATATGAAAAATACATAATATAGCTCCCAAACAAACACAAACATGTTTTAATAAAATGCTTTTATTCACTCATAATCTGACACTTTCAGGAAGACCAAGGAAGGACTAAGGAAATTGTCATCTGTTGTTGAAGCTCTGTGAGCTTGGTGACTTTGAGACCACTTGTTATCCCAAGTTGTTTGAATCGCCACAATTCAAATAGAGAAAAAAGAGCTGATTGTCAAGATTTAAGATGTGGCTGTCAATGTTGGATTAAAAAAAACACGTTGCCCTACGTTTGTTGCATTGCTTGAAAAATAACTTTTTTCGAGAGACTGGATAAGTAATTCAAGTGTTTTATTAACTTTTGAAAAACAAGTAATAATTTAACAATATGTGCAAAAGTTTTATGATATGTCGCTGTTGTGAATGTCTGTGGAGTGTATCTTATTTGCCAGTCCTGGCTGTGCTCTCTCGTTTGCCCCCCCTCAATTCAATTCAATTCAATTCAAGGTGCTTTATTAGCATGACAGATGGGTACAATCAGTGTTGGGTATTTACTTTTTAATCTGTGGTCCTTTTAACTGTTTTTACATCTACTGTATTGCTTTGAGATGCCACTTTTAAAGGTGATATATAAAATCAAGGCTTTAACTTGCTTTAACTCCGCAAGTCTAAGTTCTTGTGTCCGTCCTATTCGAACCCGAAAGTATTACAATATGTATCTTTATAGCAGGTGGTGTACAGCGTTTTTGTATAGATTACACTTTTCTAAAATGTAATTAAAAAATAAAAACGATTACAATCTAATCTTTCCACGTTTGATCCCAAGATCCCAAGAAAAATTAATCTAAACGGCGAGAAAACTATGCTGATTTACGTTGCATTGTGCATTGTGCTGCTGTAATACAGTTTTAAATAATTAAAAGTCTAAACAGTATCAGCTTTATTTATGAGTTTTAAATAAAGGGATGGCAAGTTCCCGCATGGTGCAAGACAGTGAAGTCGTACTCCTGCAGGACCTCTATCCATCGTGCCATCTGCCCCTCCGGCTCCTTAAAGTGGAGCAGCCAGATGATGGATGCACGGTCGGTCCTCAACCGGAACCAGGTCCCGAACAGGTGCGGCCTGAAGTGGTGGACCACCGCCATCACAGCCAGCAGCTCGCAGCGGGTCACGCAGTAGTTCCATTCAGCCTAGTCAAAGCCCGACCATTGAAGGCAACTACACGCTCCCCATCTGGCCCCTCCTGCGCCAACACCGCACCCACTCCTGAGTCACTCGGCCAGCACGGGGGCCCCCACCAGAGCTTCACGTAACCGTCCGAAAGCTGTCTCACAGCCCGAGTCCCAGTCTAAACGGCGGCCCTTGTCGGTGAGGCGGTGCAGTGGGGGAGCGATGCTGGGAAAGTCCCGGACGAACCTCCGGTAGTACGAGGCCAACCCTAGAAAGCTGCGCAGGTCCGCGATGGTGTGGGAAGTCAGCTAGCCCCTCATTGTTGCGACCTTACCTGGGTCTGTAGCTACACCTCGCGGTCCAACAACATGTCCCAAGAAGGTCACCTCCCACAGCAGGAGCTTGCACTCACGGGGATTAAGCCTCAGGCCAGCAAGGCAGATGCAAGCCAGCACTGCCTAGAGGTTAGTCAAGGTGATGTAGTCCAAGGCGTCGTCTATCCTCGGCAGGGGGTAGGAATCTTTCCGGGTGACCTCGTTCAGCTTGCGTTAGTTGACGCAGAACTTCCACGAGCCGTCTTTTTTTTGGACCAGTACAGCTGGCGCCAACCACGGGCTCCCAAAGGGCTCAATCACCCCCACTGTGGCCATCTCCCGGATCTTTTCCTCGGCGGCGGTCCGCTAGGTGTGAACCATGCATCCCGGTGGGATGCAGATGGGCCGAGCGTTGCCGGTGTTGATTTTGTGTTGGACCAGGGCAGTGCGGGTGCAGTCCTCATCTCTCGCCGCAAAGAGGTCCTCGTTCTGGGCGAGTAGCACCTGGAGCTGCTGCTGCTGGTCCTGACCGAGACCCTCGCAGCTTCGCTGGTAGAGGTCCTCAAAGGCATGCCTTGCTTCCACGCGACACTCGGCCCCCGCCGCTGCCGCCTTGCCTGGCCCCCTGGCTGACTCGGGGGCAAGATCCGGCACACTCGCTCCCCAGCTCGCAGGTCCAGTTTGCTCCGGTGAATGCCGCTGCCGTCGATACTGCCTCTTTTTCCCTCGGCTCCGGCAAGCCCGTGTCTCTCAGCCTTTGTCGGGCCTGCCCTCCACCAGGTGAAGTTGCTCCCACTGCTACACCAAACTGGCCCCCACTCACTGCAGCAGGTCCAGCCCAAGGATGCAGTCCTCCTGGATGGGTGCGAGGTAGCAGGGGTGGCGCACCATTGCTGTACCTAGACTGAAGGCAAGCACCTGTTTTCCCCAGACTGCAGCGAGCTATCCTATCACGGTCCTTAGCCGCAGGCCAGAGGCGCCCTCGGTGTCGGGGAGGACGCCTGGCCGGGATAGGGTTACCGATGAACCGGTGTCGAGCAGGGCCAGGCAGGGTTGGTCCTCGATTCAGCAGTGGAGGTACAGGCCCCGGCTAAAGCCGACTCGCTCCACAGTGACGTGAGGGACGTCAGTCTTCACAGCGCTCTCCAGAACGGGGGTTGAGGTGTTCAAGGGCGGCCATCCCCCGCGCTGAGCCGCCCCATTCCCATTCCCAACGGCGATCGAGGAGTGCGAGGTTCGGGTGCCCAGCAGTACTGGGCTCAGTATCCGCTCTTCCAGCAGCGTTCGCAAAACAGTGTGCGGGGCTGTTCCGCAGGGGTCGCTGCACGGGCTGGCTCCTCTTCCCCCTTGCTGGACTCCTCCATCGCCGCCTCAGTCACCCGGCAGGGCGCACTGCGTCTGCTTGCGCTTCCAGCCACCCTGAACACCCTGAACGGGTGAGAGGGCCTTGAGAAAGGCCTGGAGACCCATCTGCCGCTATGCCTCCCAGGGAAAAGCTGGGTATCCTCGGAGGGCGAGGAACATGATATCAGCGGCGCCGGGCCCAGTCGCTCTCCTGGTCGGCGCTGCCGCAGCGCCAGCCTCTCACACATCAGGTCTGGTGCCTCCTCCACACAGAAGTGCAGCCAGAGAGCTGTTGCCAGCGCCGCCACTGGACGTCCATGGAAGTCCTCTTCCGGGACGTCCAGGAGCACCTGGCAGGCCGCTCCTTCCAGCGCCGCCGCCAGGTGGCCTGCCATCTCTGCCCAGGTCCATCCATTCGTCCGGGCTGCGAGCTAGAACTGCGCCTCGTAGGGTTCCGAAGGCGCTTCGCCGTCGTAGCAACTGGGTCGCACTCGCACCGGCAGGTGTGGGATTAGCTGGCCGGCTCCGGCAGGGAGAGTATCTTCTCTCTGGGGCATTCGCTGGCGGTGAGTAGCGGGCAGTCGCCCCAATTCTACCGGCGGGACCACTACTGAGTAGCCCTGGTAAGGGCAGTGGCCACCTGTCACACCCAGGAGTTGCTCAGGCTCCATTTGTGCGCTGCCAGTGGGTTCTGTCTCTTTCAGAGTCAGCCGGTGCTTGACAGAATCGGCTAATGTCTGCTGCGGTTTGTCCATCCATCCCACTCTGACACCAATGTAGCGTTACCAGGTTCTTCTCAGGACAAAGGACTAGTGGAGATGCAATAAGCAAACCAAGCGATAGCTAAATTCTTTTAACAAACCACACAAAACCAAACACAGGTTATATACACACATAAGGAGACTGACGGAACACGTACACATCTTTAGGGTGGTACTTACTTCTTTAAAAAGCTAAAATAGCAAATATTATCGACCCTATTGAATTTGTTGGTATTTCTAAATATCGCAACACGTTCAAAGTTAAGTGATTAACCTTTTTTTATGAATACTTGCACTTGTTATCGTAGTAAAAGAAACATATACTTTTTAGAATTGATTAATAGGGAATATAATAAGGAAGTGCATATCTAAAGAAATTAATAACGATATTAATTTAAGGATATAAATATATCTATTTATATAGCTAATAGTATTACTGCAATCCACTTTCTTTGTAAACACATTTTACTTTTAATTTGACTCATTCATGCATGATGAAGTATTATGTACACTATATTAACATGTTTTTATATATATAATATAACATATTCAATGTTAAGTTATATTAATAATAAAATAAAATCCTGAATAAGCAAATGTGAATACTGTCCACTGTTTAACCAGTTTAATTCAAAACAATGTATTCAGTGGGGAAAATTAACAGACGCTTCAAGCCTGAAAACAAAATCGGATATATTGTAATTAGAATATATTAGAATAACAAAGCGGTATTAAAAATAACACTGAAACTATGATAATGTGTCTGGTCATTATTAACAGTATTAATTTGATAATAATCATTTCAAGCTTCTTATATCTTTTACAGAGTCATTTTTTTTCTTTGGTTTTCATACGTTTCCCTTTTTAAAATACCTATTTATGAGACACGATTTTTCAGATGTCAATAACTTTGTGAACAAATGACACAGAGGTTGCAACCCACAGGTTTAAAGATTGCGATTTGTGAAACATTTCATATTTAGTACCTGTTTGCATTCATATAAACTTTAGTTTGAATAAAGCGGATGCCAAGTGACTTCATAATGCGAGAAGGCTGTATTGTTTATGCATCAGTTGAAGCCTTCTGAAGTCACTCAAAAACATAAAAATGTAACATAATACTTTGTAGATGATTGCATGATGGTCAAACGATTCTTTTAATTTTAAAGAAAATCAAATTTTCAAATTCCAAATAGGAAACGTGTGTGCCTCAAATAGACACTGCATGGTTTTAAAACCCTTAAAAACGGGTTTAGTTAAAAACACGAAATCCACGAAAAATGTGTGTGGTGTGTTAACACAAACTCTGCTTAACAGAACCGTTTGTAAGAGCAAGGTGACTTTCTGCTCAATTAAATAAAGTTTCAATACTGAGGTATTAAATCAGTACAACTTTTATGAGGTATTAAATCAGTACAACTTTTATTACATTCAAGTATTTTAAACATTTAAGTAAAAAGTAGTTTTAAAATATCTAAACCATTTTTTACAAGCTCCGTGAAGTTGCCCCCCCCCCCACCCACTAACAGCACAAACGACGATGAAACCCACCTTATTTGTTAGTGCTACATTTCTGCCGGTTGAAAATACTGCTTTCATTTCGGAGATATAGTGCCTTGTTTTTTCAGGGTTGTGACATCACTATGCCCCCCTACAATGTCGTAGGGAAACCAAACCAGTCTCATTTGTTAGTGCTACGTGTGTGCAATTTTGTGCTGTTGAAAGTAACTTACCAGCTTCTTGCTTTCCCGAGATATAGCACCTTCTTTTTGGGGGGTTTGACATCAATCAGCCATCCTACAATGTCGTAGGGGAACCGAGCCAGTCTCATATGTTAGTGCTGTGTTTGTGTCGGTTTGTGCCGTTGGAAGTAACTTCCCAGCTGCTTTTGTTCCTTATATATAACGTCTTGTTTTTCAGAGGGTGACCTTTCCCAGCCTCTCTACAACATCGTAGGGGAACCGGGCTGGTCTCAATCATTAGTGGTGCATTTGTGCCGGTTTGTGCCGTTGAAAGTAGCGTTTGTGCTGCTTTCGTTCCCAAGATATAGTACCTTGTATTTCTGGTGATCACGCAACCATGCATGGTGACTTTGACCTCCAGTGACCCCGTCTGCAGAGTTCAAGCGCATTGTTACTGGTACAAGAGTAACAATTCTGCAATTTTGTTTCTCTATGTGCCCGGGTGGGGGGCGGCGGTTGATTTTGCTTTTAATAGCAGTATCTTCTGGGCGTTTGTGTGAACAGGAAAATTAAATTGTCACCAATATCATACCTTAATCAGAAGAGTTGCGGATTTAGCCTTAAAAGGCGAACATTAGCAAGCAACTGCATGTTCTTACAAGGAGACTTTATCTAGCACGTCTAAATATTTCATAACTTAAATTAACTGTTACTCAAGCAAAGTAATGTCAAATGAGTAAAGAAAGTTATAGAGGTAAAGAATTCAATGAAATAATAGCCACACATATCCATACAACAAGAATTACAGCTATTCTTGCAGACTGTCTTTATCTAGGTCTCTAGTTCAATTTTCCTACTAGGGTGCACAAGTTCACATCTATCTCAATCTCAGCCTCCTCATCATCCACCCTGCACAAACTGCTTTAACATGTCTGTTTTTTCATGATGATTTGCCTAGTTTTAAAACAGAATTGGTGTGTTAGTGTACATGTGTTTAAATATAAATTACAATATTATGTCAGTGGATCTGGTGATTTGTAATGATTTGTTTTTTTATGGAATTGAACTGATCCCTTTTTGAAGACCTACTAGAAATGGAAATATTGGCAAAAATTCAGTGCTGGTAAATAGAGTAATAGCCTTATGTGTTTAAGTGAAGAACCCTTTCAAAGTTTCAAACAGGTTTGTGAGAAGATCAAAACCTAATCTTATCCACTTTTGCCTGCCTACATACTGTATAAACATCATGTTCTAGCTTACTCACATGCATGTTTCACATCCCTACCTATGCCCCATCTTTACCCTATCAGCAGATCCCTGCATTTTCCCATTGCCTCTGACATACTCATTCTCATTTCCATGTTTTCATTCTGTTCAACCAGAGGACTTTCACTTCACTAAATCAAATCACTTTTCTTCACCATCTTAATCAGAATTTTTCCAGAATCTTGAATAATGTTAGGATGTTAGGAAGCTGGGAGATAGTGAAAACAGCATCAGAAATGGATTGGTCCAGTAACTGAACAATGTTAAAACAGGAAACATAAATATGAAAGGTATGTTTATGTTTATGTGAAACACACATTAAGTGAAACATACATCTGAATTGTTATTTAATACAGATACAATTAGCTTGTAGAAATTTCAATTACTGTTTAGAATTGCTTTGGAAGGAACATACAACCAAACTACACAAAACTGCACCAAATTACTGTAATCACAGACAATTTTGAATCAATTACTATTTTAGATTTGGTGGAAACGGTAACTGTATCTAATCATAAAACTACATGAACTGGTTATATATTCTGGTTAAATATGCAAAAAAGACTTCACAAGTATCAAAAAGAGAAGACATAACACTGATTTCCAGAGCATACCAGATAGATTTTTATATTTTGTGTAAATATGCTAAGCAGCTACTTTCCAACCCTGACTATTGTGGTTTCAAGTTTGTCTGGTCATAAGAAGTACTACTGATGCAGCCATTCAAAATGCGCGGTAAAAACCCGCGGTACAGTAACCTACCCGCAGGGCACCGCGGTAAGTGATTGGCTGGCCAAAATGACCGACAGGGGCACTCGTGGTGCATTGGTTGGTAGTGAAAAGATTTAATCATTTAATGTCTTTACTGTGCACATTTTAATCC